GGGGGTTGTATTAGCTGGTTTTGATTTATTGGGGGAGCTACAACTCCCCCATAATTTACGCCCATGCCCGCACTGGAACCCGTCAGTCATTTTGCACTTCACCCCTCCCCCCCATGCCCACTAACGATCCCTACCTTTACATATTTATCAGTTCATATCTACCTGATTGACTACAATTTTGCACAGCATCTTTCAAATACTGTTGCACTTTATGTCATTGGCTACGTTCCCACTGCCATGCTGAAGTGACTAAAATCGTTTTTTTTGCCTTAATGTGACACAGATCTGATCTTTTCAGGGCTGTCTGGACACGCAAATCTGATCTTTCCAAATCGGATTTGTGCCACTTTCATATGTGGTACTCGCGGCCATGAGACCTGAATGTGAACGCTCATCGGAATTCATGTGGCTTTTTGCTTATACGCATGCGCTTAAGGTAAAAATGGAGGAGAGCTGCGATGAGTCAGTGGAAGGATGGAAAAGGTGGGGATTTAACTGATATTTGGGGAAATTAATCTGTTCAAGCTAAACTGGAAGGAACCTATCGTAATAGTATTTGAGTAGTATTTGAAATATTTGCCAAAGAAATGGCACAGCACGGACACGGACATTGTAGCCACTACAATGCCAACGAAAAATAAAGAGCTTGAAGTCAAAGTTTAAAGAGGCAAAAGACTCGAATCACCGCAGCGGTCATGGCTGCACAACGTGCCAATTTTACGACCAGCTTTTTACCCGTGCAAAAACGTATCAATGTGTGCATGCGTGACGTTTCGGAGGACCGATGCGTTCACATTACAGTCAGATACAGATCACTTGTACTTATGAATGTGAACCGTCAAGATAGACAAATCCGATCTGAGCAAAAAACCGGAATTGAACGATGTAGCTGGCAGTGTGAACGTAGCCATTGTGTCCTGTCCTTGTTCAACTGCCCTGTGTGCCTTTAATTGCCCCTCGGGGATAAATAAAGTTATTTGAATTGCATTGAATTAATACTTCTGTCGTCATTTGACTGATAGGGATGCATGTAGCTGCAGTAAGCGCGATGCGCCCGATGCTTTATTTTAACGGCACCTCTGATCAGGGGCGTAGATTTAGGGTGGACGGAGGGGATGTGTCCCCACCAATATCCTCCGACCATTGAAATGTCCCCACCAATAATTTAATCCACTTAAAAAAAAAAAAACAATCGTGTTGTCAACATTAACCTCGACACGCAG